CCGTGAATCTCTCAACTCATCTCTGATTTGGCAGAGATGAGTTAAGAGATTGCCATAATGGTAAGCCACCACCGTCAACTGCCGCATGGTATTACCATCACGAATACGTGAGCCGTCAACGGCAACTGGTAGATGGCACAGCCATCGCGATTGCGCGAGCCCCTACCAGAAATTCGTTGCGCCGCCCTTGGGGGCAAAAAACGGTGAAAGCTAACGTACGAAACCAGAGGGCAGCACAGGATGCGATCGCACGATCCTGCCCGTGAGCAATCTCCCAACTCATCTCTGTCCACACACGAGTTAATCCGAGTTTGAGTGGTTTACATCAAGTTTAAACCGTGTATAAACTTGTTAAACTTCGGGTAACAAACGTTGAACCGTACCTAACTGGTTTACACAGTTGACAGCAGGTTGAAACCGAGTGTAAACAAGTTAAACTTTGGTTATCTCGATTCGTGGAATCGGCCCTCTGTGCTCCCAACTTATCTCTGCAAGCAGCGTGTGCGGCGGGTTTTATTCATGGAAGTCACATTCATGAGATGTCAACCTGAATTGTTGAAAACGTTTCATTCACGACGACTGTCATTTTTAAACATGACAGAGGAATTGTCAGGTGTAACTATTGTGATATTCATAGCAGCGGGTGCATTAACTATTGTTCTGTTGTTTATTTTTGCGAAAAGGCAGATTATGAGATTTGCCTTGAGATCGCGACGAGGACCTCACGTTCCTATTGGTCACGATGCTAAAAAAGTAAATATACGAATTTTCAAGGTTAAGAACATAAATTGCTTTAAGTAGTGTTGTTAAAATAGTAAATACTACAATTTATTGTCTGTACAAAATATTTCACCAATCATTATTATCAAAACATATTTGAAAAATATGGTTAAGATTTGGCCTATCAAGTATATTTTCATAATTCTTAAATCATGCATAAAAAATGTAATTTTTGATGAAATAACATTAATTATTTAAATCAATCCCTTTCATTGCAGTCATTAAAGAAAGAAATTGAGAGAAGAATAGAAGTGATACCACGAGTACAATATGAACCGCAATTAATAAGTGATCCAAGATATATTGTGGAACCTGGCGGACAAGTTCCATCACATTATTATAGATTGAAGGCTATCGATGATGTTAAAACTTTAGGTTTGACACTTGATCATATTTATATATTAGCGTGAAATGGGAAAAATTCATGTCACAAATTAATTTTAGAAGCAGAAATAACCCGTTATGATAATTGTATGAAACGACATCCATCTGAAAATTTAAGAGCATATTTGTTAACAACCCTGGCTGCACCTCTTAATGGTAGTGGGCAACGTCTGATACACCAATTTTGTGACTTGTATGAACACGCTCGACACGATCCAACAGAGTTTGGTGAAGAGGAATATCAAGTTTATTCTAGATTACTCTTGAAGCTAAGTGATGCGTACGTACACAAATAGAAATAATTACTTTGGTTATATATTTGAGAGAAAATTTATGAAATTCTTTTTGTAGAGCAAGACTTCTGAAGTCTTATCCAAGTAGTAGGAAATCTAGCCCAAGTCGGACACCTATAAAGAAAAACGTAGAAACCAAAAGGAATATTTTAGAACCCAGAATGCGACCACCTGACGATCAGATTCTTTGTGGTTCACGGCCAAACACGTTGACAGTAATTTCTTTAGATAATAGCGAAACATCAGTGTAGCAGTGTGCTTGTGGTCACATACAACATATGTGACTAATTCATAATTCAGATTCTTACTCTATTGACCACTCAAAGTGTACATGTTTTTCATTACCAGAGGAAAAAGTGACTGCATATGAGTATCCAATTTAAGTAAAATGGAAAAGACTTTTACCCATCTAACAAATAGATGTAAAAATGTATACGTACACGTATCTTTTGTGTATAACTGCCACGTGTAAATATTTTAATTGTCACAGTAATTTATCTGCTTTTATATTAATTCAGAGCAAGTCAGACATTTACATGACTTGGACAAAAGAAAATGTATAATATGAATAGATTTCATTTTTTATAACTGGTATTATATAAATAGTTTTCTAGGTACTTTCGATAAGTCCAGTAATTAATAATTTTTGTAACAACTAAGCATTAAATATTTTTCTGGCATTTTCTTTAAAAAGATCTTTATCACATATAAAGAATTTTGTTCATTGACTTTCATAACAAATGTATTAAACATAGTTCAATTTATAGGGATAGAAAATATTTTAGAGGACTTGAAATATATTTCACAATATTGAAATTCATATCTTGCATTTATTTATTATATTGCTATGTCGATTTTTTTACATTCGGGGATAAATATTTTGTCCATGATTCTATAAAATAGTTTTTATGTTTACATGATATTAATGCATTGTCAAATGCAGTTTTATATTGTGACTGTACAGAACTCACTCTCATGTAATTCAACCATTCCATGATCTAAAAGAAACATCAATAAATTTATCAAAACATATCAACACAACATCATAATAGTTATGAATAATTTATATACTTAACGAAGTATATCTTTATAATCACTGATAAAAAAATAATTTAAATGGTAAATTATTTATTTTTTGTTTTATTTAAATTCATATTGCATAGTAAACTGACGGTTAGATGATGCAATAAACAGGCAAATAGGCGCTCCTTTAAGATAAGACAATGATGACGGTTTGAATACGTTTAGATAAGTATACTACTTGAAAATACCAAAAAATGAGAGGTTAATTATGTGTGCCCATCTGTGATTATAATTAACTTTAAGAAATAAAATGTGTATATATGGATGAAGGAAAATGCATTATATAATAATGATATGCCAAAGACGATAAAAATGTCATTAAAAAATACATGCTTTTCTGTTAACTATTAATATTACCATGTCCTTACAAATGAGTGTGTTAATTTCATTCATAATATGTTAGACATACTTTTTAAGTACAATTTGACTCACTTGGGGAATAATATCGTTCCATGGTGTTTTCTGAGTAAGGGTTGCCACAGCTAATGGAAATATTCTCATTCTTGTATCCTGTGACGTTGTCAATGATTCTTCCCTTGTAAGAAGGCAGTCCACTCCAGAGAGAACTATTATTGAAATTATCAAAATATCGCATAAGTATGAAATTGTTCTGCAAAAGTCGTCTTGAGAGCAATCGGTGAAAGCAGCTCGTATTCGACCCATCAGTTCCAAAATCCATGTCATACTAGTTTTTTCTGAACGCATTTCTGATTGAACTCTATGTATATTTTGTAACAGATATAAATGAACCCTGTATGGAGAAAGTGCATACTAAAATCAGATGAGTATGAATAATTACATCTACTGACGAGTCATTATTTTCTATGTTCACAATACTGTGTGATTGTTTAATTCTTAAAATGTTTGATGGTGGTCCTTTAATACTTATTCCATATTTACATGTAATTATAAGTTCAACCTTTCTTAAGTCAGTTTATTAAATAATGTTTAAGTAGGCCATTTTTTTCAAGATATGAAAAAATAATTACATCTGATATAATTAAGGCAGCTTTCACTTTGTCTGTCGTTAGAAATGTCTAGATTATAATACATTAATAAATATCCATATAAAACTATAATATTGAGCGGTAAAGTTTAGACTTTACGTACCCAGGTACAGAGGTAACAGCATCGATCACTTCATTAAGCCATACTAATGGTGTTTCAACGTCTTTTTTCAAGGCTAACTCAGATCTAATGATTATTGCTTTCTTTAGTTTTTGTGCAGTCACTTCCCACCAAACACTTGGAGATGTCATTCTTTCTATGTGCGTCGATGACAATTCCAATGCTGCATCCATGCAAAGAGCAAAGACTTTACTATCAACGTCAAGTCTCTCCAGAATACCTTCTAAAATAATTGAAAGCAAAGTCCTATTTGCATCATGTATTGTTTTGTTCTGTAAAGTTTTTCTATAACAGATCATCATTTCTCTGAATTCATCAATTAAGTCGTCAGTGTTAGGCAGTGCTTTCTCTACGATGTAATTTAAAGTTGTATCCAAAAATGGTCTTAGAACATTGGGTGGTATTGCTTTACATAAATAATCCATATTTGAATAAATAGACAAGTACTCCTTCTGTCTGATCATTGTTACAGTATCTGATTCGAACATTTTCAGGTATTCTTCAACAATTGCTCTAGCTGACGTGCATGTCTTCGATTGCTGACAAGCTATTATAACGCTGTACTTCTTCGCCTCGATGGAGAGTTCCATAATTTTTTTTAAAAAGGTCCAGTTCACAGGGGGCAGAGGTTTAACATACTTGTGTGCAAATATTCTTAAACATTCTACCACGGATCTGTTATCTGAATTCAAGTTCACTTTATAACACCTTAGATTTTCACCTATTGCTCGTATGACACTCTTCTCGGAAAGATATTCGAAATTAAACGGCTCGTTTTGAGAATATATGCTCGAAGGAAGATCTTTTATTTCTCTCGTTATAAAAGCAATCAAAAGGTCTCCTGCACATTCAAGTACCGTTCTGTTGATTTTCGTAAGCATTTGCATCCAGCACTCTCTTGGAATGTATGGCAGAACATCTGCAGGATTTCGTGCAGCTTCCATTGGTGTCTTTGCATATTCTTTTGGCATGACTAGATTTTCTCTGAATTCAACAGCCAATGATTTCAGAGGAATATGCTCCAACTGATATGCGGATAATGCTTTAAGTGCAGATTCCATTATTTCTGAATCTCCTGATGAAGATACATAGCCCCATAATTTTGTTACGATTTCTGTTACAAGTTTCTCATAAGTCTGTATTGACTGAGGATTTAATGGTATATCGCCAAAAAATTCACATACGCTTTTGAGAACAATTTTTCTCGATTCTTTGTTTAGTTTAGGTGAGAGCACTCTGTAAGTGGAGGAAATATCAATCACGCCGGCCACACAAAGGGCCGAGATTCCCTTTAAGGCGAGTGCACTAGCTGCACTGCCGTTAACATTACTACATCGGTTCAGTATTTCCGACAGTAGCGGGACGAGTTCAGCACCGTTTTCAGGTTTGGTTTCACAAATATGACACATTGCTCGGGCGCACGCTATATCTGACTGCCATCCGTGATTTTTTTTACTCGTATCAATTAGGACAGCCAAAAGGTACCGCCGACACCTTGGCTCGTTTTCTAGTGCTTTAAGATACAGTTCTATAGCAAGTTGCTTCAGCGGTTTGTCAGTAGCTATCAATGATTCCAAAGCGTGAATTATTATCGGCACATTTTCTTTAACCAGAGCCAGATCCGGCAGGATAAACATTAACGTTTTAGTTTCATCAATGTTACGTGTTTTTGTAAGTTTGTACAGAACGAGAGAGAGCAAGTGGGAAGCAAAGTCCTTCTTTTCTTTAGAAATATTGATGAGAATATCAATAATCTTTTCGATTATTGTTGGATTCTCACTTTGTAGAAATAATCCACTTAATATTAATATACACATATTCTTTACATCTTGAGGTGCTGCTGCAACATCAGTTAACCATTCAAGTGTATTTTTTTCAGATAGTGTATCAACACATCGACAAATTTCACTGTAAAACTGAAGTTTCTTGTCTGTGTGATATACTTTAATAAAGACTTCATTAGAATAAAGTCTAATTGTGCTAGAACCCCATGCTTTTTTGTTTACAATGTTCTGCACCAAATTTTTAGCGATATCTAAAGTATGCATTAACAGTACAGATGGATAAGCCATCCACTTTAGTATACAAGCAACCAGCGTAAAAGCAACCGTTCTACTGCACGATAATTTTTGTAAAAGAACTGCACCTAAAACAAAATGTATATTCAATGAATATTGTCTTTTTAAGAATTTTGATGTATGCAATGTCATTAGTTGTGAACAATATTTTAATATTTACATGATTCAATAACGCTGCATAAATATATGGGAGGACACGTGATTATCATTTCAGCTAATAAAGAAACTGTAATATTACATGCATCGTTATCACTATATTCTGCAAGTTCCAACATCATGTCAAGAGATGGCTTTGGATTAAATCCTTCTTTTACAAGATCTCCAGTAATAGATATGATCAATGGCATGAGCACGTTGCAGAACTGTTTGTCTTTACTTATTATCTTCACTTGTGCTAATTCTAACAGCCTGTTACTAGTTTCTGCACAATTATTAATATCATTTGTTCGTAACCATTGTAAAATTTCACATTGCAAAGTCTGAGTATTTTTTGATTTAATTAAAATATGCCAGGCTTGATGCTTAACAATTTCTGGTAAAGCAGGTGTAGGATTACAAAGAATGTACAAGAACACAGGCTTTAAAAGCTCTAGACTCCGTTGAGCAATTCTGAAAAATTGAAGTAAAGTATGAGGAATAATTATGAATATTTGATAAAGCCATTATATTGAGCTTACAAGAATGCAACACTATGTGAGCAAAGCTTTCTTATTATATTCAATTATGTCATTAAGAGATTGTCAGACATACTATAACTTACTCATCTTCTTTATGCTGAATCATAAACTGCATATAACTTAATACGTTTCTCCAACTGCTTTTATTATTATTTAAAATACTAATTAGTGGATGTTGAGGACCTTTAATTCCAAATCTCCATTTTTGCTCCCCTTCAGATTGAGATTTAGAGTTCAATATAAGTAAGTTGCTTAATGCTGCTGCAATGGCTGTATGTTTTCTAAAATAAGAATAATTCAGTTACACGGTAGTCTCAATTGTGGTTTTGAATATCTTTTATGTAATATTACTTACTCTAATGTACCGAGATGCGATATAAAAATATATAGAGCGTTATTTATGTCAATTACTCCAATTTCTACAAGAGCAATTATTGCCTGGCAGGCTGTCATTCCGAGGGTTATATTGGTGCTGCTACATTTTGACCACAGTAATTTCAATTCTGGGGCCTTTTAAAATGCGAGTTAATACATGTTTGAATGAATTTTATCATTATATTTAAACATGGATTAAGTAAGTTCTTATTAATAGTATCAAATTCATGCATGATTTAAATTAAAGAATTGAACTCAGTTACCTTTGAAATATCAGCTGTAGGGTCCGCTTCATGTTTTTCCTTAATCGTGCACAATAGCTTTGATATTGCCTTTAAAGTAATAAAAATTACATAAATGTAATAAGTATTAAATACAAGAAAACATTTGCAAGAAAATAGGAGGCTTATTTAAATCTAAATAACTTACATGTGATATCAATATTGGATTATTTGTTCCCAGCTTATATTCTATTTCATCCATTTTATTTTTAGAGTACAAAGTAATCAAAATATAGAAATAATTATGCCGAAGTTACCCAGTGAGGAGTGAAATTTAAATAAATCGGGTACTTGCATTCATATGTCTTAATCAGTGTTACTAATTTAATATATGCTACCTTAGTAAATACAATAGTTTTCAAATGACACAAGTTGAGTTTTCATATATTTTGAAAAAAATAAATGGAAACCCATTATACGGTTATTTTGCCGGATCGGTTTAAAGAATTTTAGGTTAAGCCTGTTAAACACCTTCATTGTATATTGCGCAGGCGCAAAGTATATACTGTGCGCACGTGTTCCGCTGCAAGCATTTATTCGGCATGTTATAGGCTATTTCTCTTGAAGCCAACCAATAGGATTGCTCTATGAAAATTTTTGAGTGAAATGCGCTGCAACCTAACTTAACCTATTCAGTGTAGTTTGGCGTGGTTTCGCGATTTCGCGATTGCCCAAGAATGACCGGGAAAGAACCATCAATTACGTCTTTTTCATTGAAGTGTTCATTCCATTTATACGCAGCATTTTATTTATAGTTATTTAATTAAACTAAAGAAGCAATTATTATTTAGCCCGTAGCAAAAATGGATTTGAACAAGTTGAACGTTTGTATGTCGGAGAATGATTGGGATGAATTACTCAATATTTTGAAACCAAAATTCTTTCCAAAAGATGACACTGGGTATGCAGAGCCTTTAAATTCCTTTATTCTGAGTTATGTTAGTTAAATAAGTATTTTATTTAATTAATGGATCACAGAATTCATAGATTGCAGAATACAAACTGCACTTTTAAAAATAATTTGAATATAATATTTTATTTCTCTAATCAAGTATTTATTTTACAATTTTAGTAAATTAATTGATTTTCGCATCCTTGCTAAAGTGGCAACATTACTGCTAAGTAATCAACCGTCGGTTCCAAATAATGTCAAAGTGGTTGCATTAAAGTGCCTGGCAAATTCATGTGTCAATGGATACCATTACAAAAAATGTAATTTAAAATTGGAGTTGGAATCAAAGCATTATGATAAATTATATTCATTACTATCCAAGAACGACTCGGAGTCTCCTGGACCTATAATCGATCAAGAAGATTATTCTTTATTAGTGCATTTTCCTTACGAAGGAATTGCAAATTGGACAATAGATTATATCACCGAGCATATTAATATATATGATGATTTGTCGGAAGAAGAGTTAGATATATTGAGACTTAGTACGCAATTCTTATGCAATTTTGTTGCATTTGCAATAAAAGAAAGTGATGCTGATGATTTTCCTACATGTTTGTCAAATGATGTACTCAAAACTGCAATTATGTAAGTTTTCCATCTTTCCGGAAATCTAGAATATTGCTTATTGAATGTTGCTTTTTAAACTGTATAATCTTTCCTATACTTTTTTTGCCGTAGGAAATGTGCACAGAGTGATCATACTCCGATATCAAAAGCTGCGTGTACTTACATTCATAATTCATTGAAACGGTTACCTCAAAATCTATATACAGATGGTGAAAGGATTCAATTAATATCCCATTTAATAAAGCCTGTTAAATTAGGCATTCAAGCTGCTATCGATGCTATGATATTTCTATTGAAACAGCCAAATCAGTTACGTTCTATTTACGATGACTTGCCAGTGGATGATAAATTATATTTATTAGAGCTTCTTCATCTAAACTTAAGAGATTTTATCTATAAAGAAGACAGTAATGACTTCGATACAAGTTTATCCAGCGATAGCATTGTCTTTTTGGCAGAAATGTTTCAGCAAAAATGTGATTTGATTTTGAAAACCGTTGATTCACGCTTAGATGGAAAAGAACCAACTGAAATAATTATACTGCTTGACATATTAGGTACTTTAACTACAACATCCTCAACAAGCCACTGTATCTTACAGGACAATAAAAGCTTCCTTATTAACTGCATATGTAAGTGCATTTAATCTAATCGAACTAATGTTAAAATTAGATAAAATGTGATTCACGATAGTAATATAGTTTTGTCACAGATTTGCTCAAGGCATTACATACAGCTGGTAAAACATCAGAGAATTACTTTACACCAGTACAAAAATTAAGTGAACTTGCACCCAGTGCTCAGCATTTGTTAGATAAAGAAAATACAGGAGGAGATCCAAAGCAACCGGCAATGAATAATTATAAAAAAGACATACAGGCCCATCCAGCTTTTGGTTTTAAGGCAGGATTAATTCGGATAATTGGGAATTTAGCATATAAGCACAAAGCAAATCAAGATTCGGTGAGTCCTGTTCTAGTGAAATTGACTTTATTTGCTGGGAAAATATTTAGTCAGAGTATATTTATTCTATTTTACACTGATCAATCCCTGCTGCACAAAGAACATATTAAACACGAACGCCAAATAAATTACTTTTTAAAAATATTGATGCATTTACATCTACGTAATTTCCTGTTTTTCTACGATTGTCTACGGTAAACTACTGGATTCATATAATGAGCTACGGAAACCTCGAAAATTACCAAATTCGGTACAAAAACGAACAGCAACTTGCATTAATCATTTTAAAAATTGTTCGGACTTTAACCATTTATAACATCCACTTTTTCATCCCATTTATTTTCGGGTTTTATCATCTGTAAATAGTACTTTAATACGTTTTACATATTTTAACGTACAGTAAGGATGCAATAACAATTATTATTGAACAACAAATTTTCATTAACTCATCAAATACCATTTTAGGTAATACGATATTAGTATTCCATATAAGTACACCATAGTTAAGTATCCACCGTGGACTTTGTAGTCTTTTTGTCCCTGTTTGATTAATTAAATTTGGATTACCTTTCGATTGTTTTAAGCAACCTCTACTTTGAAGAGAAATTCTGACTAAGAACTACCTGGATATCATCAGCGAAATGCAAAGCAAATGAAAGAAATGAACGTTTTGATCAGTGGGCCGCAGTAAGAGCCGTACCGTCGAACAAAGGCGAAATTAAGTGACCTGTCTAGCCCGAAGACGTGGCAATTTACTTGCAATCCGATATTCCATTAAGACATTAACGAGAGCGCGATGTTCCATGTAATTTTTTTTTCGTCGTTACGCGAATACTCGAGTACACATTAGGCAGAGAAATACATTCACAAAGACATCAATGTGGGCATTCGATATTCGATGTACATTTGGGGGTCTTGAATACAGTTAGTGTAACCATTTCTTTGTAATAGGGCTAAAATATTTGAAGTAATTATGTTTTCAGCTCCGAGAAACCGAAGCGATACCGCTTCTACTGGATTGCTGCAACATGGATGCTAGAAATCCACGTATCCTTTGATTATTTAACACTATATCTATTGACTATTTAATAGTATCATTTTAAGACCTTGCGTCATATATCACATGGTATTTGATTTCTTAACTGTATCTTTTCGAATTCAGTGATAATACAGTGGACAATTCTAGCGGTGAGGAACGTCTGCGAGGGCAATCCTGAAAATCAAAACGTAATTCGGGAACTGACGAAAGTGGGGGTCGTGGACAGCGCAATTATCCGAGAAATGGGCCTGACGCTACACGAAGGAGAGGATGGGAAAGCAATCGGCGTGGTACCATTAGTCAACAACAAATGAACAAATCCGCAAGTACACGTTTTCCTATTTTCGCGCATGCAAGATGTGCTCGACCGACCGTGGAAGTTTCTTAGTTTCCGTTTAACTGGTGGCATGCTTTAACCAGCGGATAAGTAAAATATTTGGGGCAAAATTACCCCAGTTTCCTGTGTCCCAGGACCGAAAGGCCACGTCGGTGCGTTAAGTTGAAATAAAAGAGAGGAGAAAGAACCGTGGACACACCCAATGTGAAGTACCTCGGCAATCATCCCGAAGATGGAACGAGTTTGAGAGGTGAAATCGTTATAGTACGCTTCCTCTTCGATTTCCACTCCCGAGGAAAAAGTAATGGCTCCTTTTGGCTATAAATAACGAGTTAGATGAAGCGTTTCCACAGGTATCAGGCGGCTCTTGCGCAAATATCCACGGCATTTCAATTAGCGTGCAAGTGGAGTTCGCGATGGCGGTACTCGATATATATATAGGCGTGCATCACCGTGTTGCATATCCGGGGGAAACTCGAATCAGCGATCTGTAATAATTATCTAATTATATCGGCCACAATGTCTTACTACACCGACAGCGCACGTTCGATAACGTATCGGTGATCATTCCATCGATCCTTATGAATAATAACGGGCCCGATGGCCCCGCGGATTGTAAACATAGCTTGTTACATGCGATCGCGGAGTGAGCTCGCAATTATAAGCCGTATAGGCATCATTACGTGAAATATGATCCCGCGTTGCGTAAAGCGTCATTTTAACTGCATTTTCAGCCCGGTGATTTACGATTGCAGTAAAGCGCCGCCTGTGCGTTCGCGGTCCGTTGAGTACGGCGCCTTAAGTCGCACGAAGTAAAGGCAAGAATCAATCCTAAGGTGATTTTTATCTTCTGCAAATGACGACTATGAATGGCGGCTTATACGAGATTATCGTCACTTTCGCAATGTGCGATCCAGAGCCTATGGATTTTTTTTTTTTTCAGAATTTCGTTTTCGTTTGGTGGTAATAGATTTACACATGAATTCAACAACAGGGCTGTTGTGATGGTTCTTTCACATCCTGGAGAGTAAATTAATATTTTTCGACTAAGATATTGTTAGGTGTTTCTTCGTAAGCTTCGTTATTACCGTATTTGTATAGTACCAAAATGTTGGGATCTTGTCACGATCCAATTTGTTTATAGAGGGTTGAAAAAGAAACAACTGTTGAAGAACCGATCGATTTATTTTCGGGTTTAGTCGACACACCTCGGTAATGAGCCTACGAACAATACCGAAATAACGGAGTCTGTCGGCTGTTGCTCCGAGGTCTTAACAAGGAGTAACTAAATATGTCTCCGCGTTTTATGCGGATAGAAGTAGCCAGGATCCTGAGTATTGCAATCTGACTTCCTGTTTCAGCAGACACACCTTTGGTCGGATTCACCTAACAATCCGACACAATTTGCAAATTTCGAACGTGTCTGAGATTTATACTTATTGATGTAACGTGATGGCATTTGGCTTTGATTTATAAAAGCAGAGACACGCCATTATTCGAAAGTGAGGTACGGTTCACCAACACGGTGGAATTGCTTTCAAAGGGGGGAATGTTCTCTATCGGTATAGAAAAACGCATCTGTAGATTTAAAATACAGCACAGTACTGACGAATGAAATTATCGCCTTTTCGTTTTTACTGTCAGTGTTAATGTATGTTGCGAATGAAGATTATGGATACCAAATAAAGTTGTTGTTCGTAGGTGGTGGAGATTGCGGCGCTTCACATACTCATACTGTTTTACCGATCACAATGATTTCGCCCCTTTGAAAGTAATTCCGATTTTCACAGGGCATAAAGAGTGTAGAGGGCGCCAGTGGACCGTACTTCACCTTCGAACAATGGCGCGAAACATCTCCCCATTCATTTCTGATTCAAAGATTTCTGATTGCGCCCTGCGGTAATTAGTAGCAGTTTTAAGGAGATTCGCTAACGAATTTTCAACAAATGGGCTTATGGATATTTCAGTTTCTAATTTCTGATGGAGGCTAGTGGAAGAAAATAGTCGAAACAGTGTCACCCACATCTCTGTACCATGGAGACAGTTTTCCGATTAATTTACGATTACTTAAAAAACCTATTATGTGACAGCTCATTCTTCCATTCTTTTTATAAAGTAGAATAAAGAACCATTTGTTTATAAAATTTAATTCAAGCGAATGCTGCTGTCTTAATTAACAAATGCTTTTTCCAGTCTAAATTAATTCCAAATGTCAACGAATAGAAGTTTTCCGCATCAACTAAGAGAAACATTAAGAAATGCAGATATCGATAAGTTCATCCGTTAAGAACTGACTTCCGAATTCTTTTAACACTCTGGCTACAAGATATTCGTCTGTAAGTCCTGTCCCACCATATCACCCATGTACGCACATGCAACTGTCACTTAACATATGAAACAATAGACATTTATGATTAGTCGTGAAAACACTTTCGCCCCGCGTGGGGTGATCGTTACGTTTATCAATATTTGACACGTCCGATTGATTAGTGGAACGCCACGTCCCGTTAGTTTCAATCCCCGAGTTTTATCCCAAGCCTCGACTTCAATCAATCGTATATTTTTCTGCCCGACCAAGTGCCGTCCGAATGGCTGCGTAGCCATGCAGCGCTATCTTAGAGTAGCGATCGTAGAACGTAGTTCACAGGTGACAACCGATCGATAATCAATAATCTCGTAATGAGAATTTCCCGGCTGACCCACGAGGAGAACCGCTCAATTAGACCGGCCTCAGCGTTAACCGCTAGCGTATTGTTTATTAACGAATGATATTTTACACCTTCCGGCGAGCGACTTTCTCGCTGCAAGGTGTCCAGCTCCTTCCCCGATTGCGATCGACGATCCGTTCCGAGCAGTCCTTGGACGTCGACTCGTGGCAGGACGGTAGCAACTCCCAATCGACTGCCCAGGCTGGATCTGAAACGAGGAACGGATCGAATGGGATAATTCCGAGTTAGCGTACGCGCGTGTCGTGCGCGCATGCCCGCGTCCCGCGGACTACATAATGATACGCTTCTCGCGCGTAACTCGTTCCAATCGGGTGTGCCAATCGGTATATAAAGTCGATGGTTTATGATCCGCTGGGAGACAAGGAGCGGGATTTACCTCCGCGAGGGATTTGCGCGCTTTGTGACCGTTCCATGTGGAATCGGACCGTTCGGGAAGTGTTCGAGATCCGGACATTGCACAGGTGCACGGACCTGAATCTTACGTAGGTACCGGCGACCTAAATCCTACACTTGGAGAAAACTGCACTCCGGGGGGAAGGGATAAATGACGGTCGTCTATGGAGAATTTATGATTACAGGTTAAACGCTCACAATAATTCATTTCTGCAGTCATCGTCCAGTTGCTTGCTACACCCAACTCGCGTGGTGTATCGTAGAAATTACTCGGCAAAGGATCTTTTCCAATGGGGCAACTCGGGAGGATGGTAAAAGTGAAACTGAACGTTCCATTGCGACATCGGATAATTATCTTGCTCTTCTTTCATACTCTTTGATATCCAGTGATTTTTCTACAACAGGTTGGATTTATACTGAATTAATAAAGATACTGTGAAAGGTGAGAATATGTACCGTTACGTCATCCCGTAAAGCTTAAGGAAAATTCATCGATACGGTCAGTAAAATGGAATGAACTCTAAAGAAATGAAAGTTATCCAATAGGAAAGGCTCTTCCTATGTAGTTATCGTACGCACCCTGAGAAAATGTATTAAACATTACCACTGATGGGGTGGAATACGCGCCAGTTCCTAAAAGGGATACGATATCCAACTACAGAATGTACAGTTAGAATTGGTAAAGTTATTGGTTTTTTTTTTTTCTGTAGCTGCATATTATATTCCTTTTAGGGACTGGCGCTTATTTCACAACTACTTGTTCGATGTGTAAATACGTGCGAAATTGTAATGTTAAGGAAGACAAGTTGACGCATTGACTTCCTAGCCGTAACTCGAACGGACTCCACGTAACGAAGGCTTGGAAGAATTGAAGTCTTCGTGGAAAGCTTCCCGTCTAACGATACGTGGGCTCCGTAACCTGAAACTCGATGGCGTGACAAGTTGATTTCTAGTTTCCTTGGTTTTCTACCGTGAAATGTCCCACGAACTTGTACAATCAGGATTGAGATGTCCGTCGATGCATTTACGACTCCGGTTACCTTATGACTCAACTTGCTTTCGCGTATGGAGTTAGTTTCAAGCGAAGCACTTTTCATTCGGTTTATGCATTCGAACATGTGGGATACAGGTATCCGCGTACTCCTACAAGTATTTAAGGGGATGTGAAAGTGGCATCCGAAAGCTCAATCGTTCATAAAACTTTTCTACGAACTGGTTGTCTCAAGTCGTTTCATACTTTAAAACGCGAATATGTAGACCCTAAGGTAGGTCCTGAAACTCGTGAAATTTCATTTTATATAAACTATTTTTAAAGTACCTATAAACAAATTTGAAAAGAATTGAAATTTCATGAGTTTCAGGACCTTCCTTATAGTCTCCCTATTCACGTTGTAACGTTTCAAACTATATTCGGTAAACCGAGGTGGGAGAAAAGTTTTATAAACAAAACCTCTTCGACGCCACTTTCACATCACCTTAAGCTGGACAGCCGTGAAATTTACGTACGGGAAAGGTATTAAGGAAATGACGATCACGTGCAGAAACGAGATATAACATGCAGAAACGTCTGAAAGTGGCAAATATCCATTATCTATTGACCTTAGGTAAAAAAGTGCAGTTGGAAGGGTGCAATGGTCGATCTGAAATGGCGATCCGATGAATTTTTCTCCGGTATCGAGGTTGTTGGTCCTCTCGGAGAAGAACCAGTACCACATCCTCCTAGACGGGAGAAAAACTGAAAAAGCGGAAAGATATCTTGGATGGTTACGTCACTTACGTATCCGTCTTATGGGCGTCGCGCATAAACCTCCCTGGAGAAGATTGGCTTTTAATTTAAATATCAGACCGTCCCCGTGAGATCGATCTCGATTGCGTGTAATTAAGAGCAATTAACGCAAAATTTATCAGTTAATTGCATGCAGGGGGGTTAATTGACACGCGGGTAATCATCGGAGTATGAAAACGTGGTAGGCGTGAATCGCGTACGACGCTAAGATGGCGGCCGTGCGGAACGGTTACGGCTGTTCTTCAAGAGTTGCGGGGCGCGGATGAAACGCGAACGGACGTTTCTTGCTCCTTGCAAGTAGTCTTAAACGATGGACGAACGGCGCCAGATTACAAAGCGGTTAATTAATGGCTAGGGCGAGATCGACACTTTTTCTTGCTGGAAAAAGACACCAATGTCCTTCTTGCGGCAAATCGCGTTCAATTGGCTGTTGGCGGCAGCTGCGGAATTTAACACGCGTTTACGATTTGCGATATTGATTATGGTAGCGAGTCTTAAGTCTTTAATTAACTATTTTTTAGAACAATTTTACCCCCTTTTAATTGGTACCAGTTCATCGGGTTACTGGTATAATTGTAATCATTTGTACCTGTAGAGATCATACGACCGTAGATTTAAAGAACATTGGAAAAAGACAATTAAACTGACAATCAATTGTCTGCCTTAAAGGCATAGAAATTGGTAGTGACTTCTTTTGGGAAAAACTAGACTTTTCATTTGTCTTTATAATTTTAAGTAGTCAGGATTCAGGCGTGTCACAGTCAATCAAATGTTTAATGTGCAAAGTTGAGTTTTTCGTCAGAAAATTTATGTTTTGTTGATGATATTGCAATTAATTGTTTTATGCTAATAATGCACGAATGGAAGATCGCGAATGATAACGAATAGTTTTTGCCCCGGACTTAAATAGAAATTGCCATTAAACAACGTAAAGTTGTAAATATCGGATGTACGTTGGAGCCTTGATTAATATTCATGCTCGCGTGTCCTGGTGGACCGCTAAGTTACTTTACCAGATTGTGAGGCCCCGGTTAATCGAAAAAAACAAGGCATATCCCTAAAAAGGAGCCAAAGGATCAATCAAGGAATTTATTTATTCTGACCACCCGTGTTTTAATACATCCCCATTCGCGTAATCGACTCTCGGGTAATCCAATTAGCCTTTTATTCCGATAAACGCTCTCAATTTAAAAGGTATTACTTATACGAGTCGCTATATAACAACTAATTACGATTAATTGCAGCCTGTACCCGTGTCTTTCGGTTGTTTTTTTACTTTCATTGCTTTACTTGGAAATTTTTCCTTTCGAAAATTGTTTACGAGATATCTTACAAATTACAATATCGATGGCTCAATAACATAAGATTACATAGTTTCAATGATATAGATGTTTGTTTACCATTTCACACAAACGAAAACTTTAATGGTTTAATGAATTAAAAATCAAATTGATGTTAATTTAAACGCTTTTCAGTTATTTGAAGTTAAATCAAACTAAATTCCGTTTATCTAACAAGATTATATAAAAATCAGACAAGTGCACGGAAAAAAGACATGTGTTTCCTTCGTAAAGGATAGTATTGCTTATAAAGTTTTGCTCTTACTGCAATAATATTGAATTAATGGTAAAAATGTTTGCAATTGTATTAAATGTACATCTAACCGTAAGAGACATTTAGAAACGCTGCTTGCAAGATTAGCAAATAAATTTTGGACGGCAATAAGAAAAATATTGTCATTACTACTTTAAGAAATAAGCGATAAGTATACAGTTTGTTGTCGCTAGTATAGAATATTGCAACTATGAATATAATTTGTGCAGTGTCAGTGAAATGATAGTTTTCTATTCTCCATGTCATAATAATGTTTCTGTAAGAAAATTTTCCTGGCCCATTGTTAAGTGTTTACATTTGATGAGACAAGTAACATTTTTTATTATGACTGTGAATTATATTTCTGCGTGCAATACCGTTGGGAACAATTAATCAAACCACTTACTGGTTAATCAGGGACAGCAGCACCGCTTTATTTCCTAGAAGCAACAGTTTTCGGTTGATTCAACAGAAATTCTCTCGAATCGACCATTGTCTAATTAATCTAACCGTGATAATTAAGCTGAACGTTTTTCTTAAGTCAGCCTCCACGTGCGTGTCCGATCTCCTTTTAATAAAGGAAATAAGAAAAGAAAAATGAAGCAAGGAAAAGAAAGGTTTCTCACGGTCCCCGACCGAGCGTCCGTCGGAGATTCGCTCGTTTCACCTGTTTCACCTGTTTCACTTGTCTCACCTGTCTCACCTGTTTTCATTGGCACGCATGTACGACGTACGCGTGTACGACGCGCGCACACCGCGTGCCGGAACACATGCACGTCTCTGGGCGTAATCGTGGCCAAAGGCCCTCGGGAGGAACTCATGAAAAATTAATCTCGCGCCCAACAAAATCTTGGAGAGGCCAGCAATTAGCACGGCAAGCTTCGCGACAAGTACTCGGATCCTTCGGTGCGTCCCTTAAGGAGATTCTTAACGAACGGGCACCCTGGCCGCCCCCTTGAGAAAGTCCGACCCTTCTAGCGACGAGGTTTAATCGGGCAGTTCTTATATTAATAGTAGTCGGCGTGGAACGAGCCTACGTCGGTACCTAATAAGTCTCGGATCTCTTTTAAAAGCGAGCGTGCCTCGAGTGCGCCTGCGCCTACGCGAAACTTCTCTCAAAGCGCCGACTCGGCAATATATTTCCAATGCCCTCGTATTGCCGAGGCACATCGAGGCGGTGCTCGCCCCGCGAATCCGGAGATCGCGAGGCTAAGGCTACGTGCACACCACGTGTCAGGGCTCTCCTTATGTTAAGGTGAAGTGAAACCCTCTTCGAATCGGTCGATTCGAATAAGACACTCTTTTTTTAAGGGTATTGGACCGAACTGTCCGAAACTTTGACACATGACTCGTGATCACCTAAGGATTGTCTTAACACTTCCAA